TTTCCCCTGGGGCATTTTCAAACTAGCCTTATGTGGCTTTCATCATGAAGGGAGGCGAAAACTCAAAGTCTTGGTGAGTCCAAAGAAGGCAGAGGAATAGCCTATACCAGCTCTTAGCACTAACTCTTGCACCCCGAGAAAATTATCTGCAGACACGGGCCACGCAGACATGAGACTGGTTGGTCCAAGTTGCACGGTTGCTCTGTGCGTGCTTTAGACAGGTGGACAGTGGAGGAGACCCAGACAGAAAGCATTTAGAGAAATGCACAATCTCACCCTCCTCGGGCTCCTGGATGTTCTCTCTAAAATACAGCAACAGTCAAGCAGGATCCACTCATGAGAGGTGTATGATGCCCTTTTCAAATCCCCAATATTGGCATTAAAAAAAAGAACCCCAAGAAGCAAGCCTCTTTTAAAACACATTTTGAAGGGCACATTTAAAACACACTGGAAAACTTTCTTTTTCAGGGGAAACAGCATACTTTTTAGGTATGGGCAAAATTCATCTTTTCCCATAAAATTTACATTGGAGGGAAAGTTGACTTGTCCCCAATTGCTTGTTTATCAGAGTCTCATAGATATAGAAATCTATTTTGACCTGAGGAGAAGGGAGAAGAGCAGAAGAATTTTGTGCAATATCTGTTTCATCACCTTCCCAAAAGCATAGATGCAACGTTAAGCCAATAATTCAATGTCTTACTACAGCTAGTAGTTGAAAAGGTCCTTCTAAGCAATGTGATGTGTTGGTGCCAACAGACAAACAACTCAGTTCCTTCCATCTGTAATGTCTCCTCTCTCCCTCCCTCTTTCTCTGTTTTTATTATTTAACAGACAGATCAGTTGCCATTCTTGCCTTAAAGTGGTTTAACGAACGAAAAACCAAATGAAAAAAGGTGTGAAATGAAGCATGGAAGGAACCGGCTGCAGCTCCACGCGGGCAAAGGAGGATAAAGAGCCAGCTCTGCTTCCACGTTCAGTATCATCAGCTGAGCCTCCTCTTCCCCCAGCACCGCCATCACCAGCTGGCCCCAACCACCAACTCCATCACCTGAGTTGCCACCACCAAATCATCCAGAAGACCACATCTGTGGCTTTAGTTCTTCCTTCCTTTCTTTTAAGTCAGCCCACCAGAAAGCCCTCTCTGTGGACTTGCTCACCTCCCTGGAGTACCTGCTCCTCGTCGGTTTTAAGGCCGCTGGCCCAAGAACAGGGGCTCCGAAACCCTCCCCCCCGGGCCTCATGCAGAACGGTGCAACAGACACAGAACCAGGCAGTTCAAGGCAGCCCACGGGCCAGGCCAAAGAACACAGACAGCTTCCAAAAGGGAGAGTGATCGGAGGGCTGGTGATCAAGGACAGATGAGTGAACAGAGGGATGGGGGAAGGCAGGCCCAGGGAGGGATTTGGGAGCATTTTCCTTGTACTGCTGTGTTACCCCTTCCAGGTGCCGAGGGATCCAGCACAAGCCTGCATCGGTTGCCTGTGGACAGGACGAGTTTCCAAGAAGACCATTTCCACTGGCAGCCCAGATTCTGCTACACTCCTGCAACAGAGGGCGGGCGTATGCTCACCCCCACCACCCAACTCTCTCCCAAGTTGTTCTGTGACTCGCTTTCTTTTGTTCCAGATTTCCTTCTGCCACCCCTAGCCCCATTCCCACCAGCCAGAGGGTTCCAAAACCCATTAGAGTCAGTACAGCCGTGCCCAACGGCTGGTCCTCTCTTTCTCTCTCTTCTCCACCCCAGGTTCGCTGCGATCCGTCACCCAACCACTCCAACGTGAGGTTTCCTGTGCCTTCTCCGTAGAGTGAAGACTTGGCCAGTATTCCCTTCTTCCAAGGAGCAAATCCCCTGCGCCTGCGTGTCGCTGGGTCTGTCTGTTTTCGGCTCTAAGCCTCCTACTTGACTTCCAGGATGGATGGGTTGGTTTCCATGATGGCCACAATGATTCGGTCAATGTAGTCTTGGAGTCGGAAGTTGATCTCTTCTTGCTTCTGGATTGCCTCCATGAGCTGCAGGGCAAAGAATCAGGCTTGTTACTGGAAAATCACCCTGCTGTGTCCTCAGTGCAGGAACACCTAATGCCAGGCAATAAATGGGTCACTGGCTGGGATTTATCAAGCCTTTGAAAGCAGCACTCCAAAGCACTGCAGTAGGCCTAGCTGGAATTAACCAAGAATTAACCTAGAATTAACCAAGGCACTTCCAATGGGGGTCTGGTTTTCTTTCTCCAAGAGCAGTTGCACCTGATGTATTGGTCAAAAGCACTCCTAAGGCTGCATTCCTGGGAATACAGCAGAGCAATGCAATGCTTTGGATTCTCTGTGGAAGAGGTGTTTTAGCACCTGCACACCTGTCTCCAAGCTCATTAAAGCAGCCGTGTCTGTTTCCAGGACTGTATGGCAGCACACCCTAGAAAACAATCCCACCCTGGTGGGAAGTCCACCCCTCGTCTGCCCTGCTATGGATTCTAAGCAACCATTTAGAACTGAACTGGTTCTCATGAAAAGTGAGGAGAAATAGAGCTAACTGCCATCAGCGAACTGAAACTTCTTAGCCCAAAGCTTTGGACTGCCTTCCCCAGCATGGTGTTTAAAAATACACATGGGGCTACGAAGAGATCCATGCAGAATCTCTCAGGACAATAAACAAAATGAAATGGTCTGGAGGTTTTATACAGTGTTGGGTCTATGGGACTGTATATATGGGTCCCTTCATAGTAAGCTCACCTAAGCTCCCAAAGTCAGTGTTATGAGGGACTCTGTTGGAAGTTAGAGTTCTTAAAGAAAAAAGAATAAACAGCTACAGACAGTCCCTACTTACGAACAGGTTACGTTCCAAGAGGCTGTTCGTAAGTAAATTTTGTTTGTAAGTCCAACCAAGCAAAAAGTACTGTAAAAAGTAAAAAAAAGAGGAGAAGGCAGGAGAGCGGTGTGGGCAGAGGAACCCTGTCTTCTGCTGCCAACACGAGGAGCGATAGCATGCAGACTGGAAAGCACAGTGGGATGAGCTGGTGGGGCGCAGTGCGCTCCATTGCCAGGCGAGGCAGGATGGCGACAGTGTGCTGCGCCCCACCGGCTCGTCCCTTCGCCCATGGAGCTGCCACCACCTCTCCTGCCTCACCCGGTAAACTAACCCTTTCCAGGAACTCCAACTCCAGCTTCCCGGAAGGCGGGAGAAAGTGGGAAAGGGTTCGTTTGCAGTGCACTGAAACTAACCCTTTCCTGCCTTCTCCCGACTTCTGGGTCCATCTTGTTTGTATCAGTGAAAGTTCGCAACTCGAAAGTTCATAAGTAGGGGACTGTCTGTATCTGGGAAATAGTTATTTAGTTAGTTGTATCAAGATAAACAGAAATCATTCAAGTGCCTCCCAAAACCAAAGTAGCCCTTTCTAATGTGAAAGTGCTGTGGATTCTGGCCCAACTTTTCTATGGTCCTCTAAATAGCCTCCCCCAACACACTCAGCTCCATCTTTGTTGCTTGCAGGGAAACAGTCCCGGAAAGTCCCCGTAGGGTTGCTGATGTTACCTCGTCTCTGGAGACCGAGCTGATTTCCGCAGCCAGAGATTCAGAGAAGGAAGCAGAGAAGAGATTCTTGGCACCTTGAATACTGAGGTTTATGATCTGCCCGTTCAGCTCATCATTCTGCTCCTTCAAGTTTCGGTTGTCCTGTTTGCAAAGAAAACCGCCCGACAGTCACACCAGCTTCTGCCTTAACCAGCAGACAAGGAGTGAGAACACGTGAAGCTGCCTTCCACAGCGGCCAACCACCTAGGTCTGTTTTGACCAAGGTTCTCTCTGCTGGAATCTTTCCCCAAGTCCTCACCACAGGATTCTTTGAAATGACTGCTGTCTTTGGAGTCTTCTGCAGGCTCTGTCCATGTACAGAGCAAGCTGGATCTCTCATGCTCCATTCAAAAGCACAGGACTAGAAGGAGCAGTCTCGCAGCATGTCAGACAGTTGGTCTCTCTGGTTCCTTACCATCTACTCCAGTGAGTAACCACTTCCAGGCTGAGAAAGGACCTTAAGGAGCACATGGCAAATCCAGATGGGAGGCAAACTGGGGCCAGCCCACTCCCAACCCCTCTGCTTCACTATGCCTAAAATGTGCAGCCCTCTGAGAGACTTGTCTCAGCATCACTGGCACCTCACAGTACAGAGCCCTGAAGGTCCTCTCCCAGCATTATCTATAGGGCAGCTGGTGGGCTGGCTAACCAGCAGCTGAATGATGGTGCTTCTTCTGCAGAAAAGGCAGGTTGTAGCTCATCTCCTGTCATCTGATTCCCCATCTCCTTTTTGTTTAACTGGAGACACTGAGAGTGAACTTCAACCTTTCAACACGAGGTATATTCTCTCCCAGTAACTTACAGCTCTTTCCTCTCTCTGCTCCAGGAGCAAATAGGAAGCCTTCACGTTCAGAGGTCCTTCTCATCCAAGTGCTCATTACAGAGACCACACATCACAGAAGCGAGACCGACTGCAAGCTGATCCCCACCCTTCACTCCCCCAAAGATCACAGGGGAGCCGTAGGCGTAACCTCAGAGCACCATACAGCTTCCCTCCATCCCCTAAGATGCCCCCAATGGTGCCTTCACAAGTGGAGAGTTCCCCAACAACCCCACGTCTAGATGTCTTCTACCTGCTTGAGCCGTCTGATCTCTTGCTCCAACTCATTCTCCCGTGTCCGGCTGTTGTATTCCTGGAGGCCGGTGCTGCTGCTCCTGCCTCTTCGCTGCTCAGCTTCCAGCTTGAAGAGCTGGAGGTGTTCCAGCTGCTTCCTGAGGTCCTCAATCAGCTGCAAGGCAAGCAAGCAAGGTCAAGGCCAATGGTATCGGCAATCAATTCACCCAGACTGGCTCTTGCTGTAAGCAAAGTCAGCCAGCCAAAGGCACAGCTGTCCCCGGCCGGGCGAGGGTTCTTTTCACCCTCCTCCCTCTCAGAGCCATCTTTCTTGCCATCTGATCTGAGCTGTGCCCAGAAGCCAGCCTTTTCCAAATGCAACCTATGACCTGCAGCTACTTTTACCCTGAACTGAAGGAGGCCAACAGCAGATCGCAAATGGTTGTGTCTGGAGAGGGGCTAAAAGATTTCATTAAATAATTTCTCTCGGAGGTCGAGAGAAATGCAACATCTAAAGCGCCCTCTGGGCAGAAGGGTGAGATACAAATCATAGGAAGGAAGGGACTATTTTAGAACTGCTATGCAGCTCTTGTACTGACATAATTTTTTTCCCCTCTTCTGTGCATGTAGAATTGGGGATGTTATAGACCGCATGGTACAATTCAGATCTTGCAGAAGTTTATTCTGTTCCTCAAATCTTCTCCAGACTTTTAGCTGGAAAGGAAACCCTGACCTTGAAAAGCTTGCAAAAGTTTGCATGCAGTTAAGTTCCTTCGTAATTTCACAAGAGTCCCGTGGCCTATTTGAATTTCTGTCAACCAGTGGTGGCACTTCTCACCTCCTGCGTGGACTCTTTATCCTTCTGAAACTGGTGTCTCTCGTGGTTCAACTTTTCCCCCAGCCTTCTCTTGTTCTCCTGCTCCTCAGTGAGCTGAACTGTGAGATCTTCGATTTCATCCAACAACTTCTGCTTCTCCTAAAAGAAAGAAAAGAAGGAAAACGATGAAACTGGGACTCTTCCAGCAGTCTCAACCCCGGGAGAAAGGCTCAGGTCGCTCGGTGATAAAGCACAAGGGTGGCATGCAAACCAGCTAGGTTTAATCTCACCACTTGAGTTTACCTGTTGTCTCTAGGCAGGTCAGCTTGGTCAGCTAGACCAAGAAATTGTGCTAGTCAAGATCAGGATCAAAACCTCTGTCCCCAGTTGTTAAACAGAATCTACTGAGTTGTGGTTTTGCACAGGGGACAGGACACACTTAGAACAGCAAGTTCAGCTAGCTGGTTGGCCCAGAGAATTGTCTTCCAATCCTCCTTTCTCTTTCAGCAGCTGCCATTTGCTGCCTCAGTTTTGCCCAACAGCAGGGACTCCGGGAAGAGTCAACCAAGCTTTGCAAGCTGCATGAGATGCTCCAGGAGAACAGTAAGCAATGCTGCTGGATTATTGCAGGATAATGAAGGTTTCGTTCTGCAAGACTCCCAGTCCCCCAACACCATGTTCTGGGATACAGCAAAAGCCCACATTTCATCTGAGTTTAGGGATATGGGGGAGCATAATTGAGGAAAGTCTCTCCCTAGGAGAAGAAAGTGCTCACCTCCTCCAGCCTCTCAATATTGGCTTTGAGGCAAGGGACACAGGACCGAAGTTCTCCATTTTCATCGTCCAGTTGATGCAACCTGCACATTTGCATAAACCCAAATACATACTTAGAAATCTATTACTGTCATCCCAACTGACCCTGCCAGGGCTGTATAACACCACAGTTAATCAACAGTGTCTGGCAACTTACATCAAAAATGCAAGACGGAAAAAATGATGGCAACTTCCTGCTGTTTTCCACATGTCCTAAGCTACAATTCCCATTATTCTTTTGGGATTTTTCCATATTCCATACAAATGCAGCCCTCTCTGAAAGAATGGCTCTTCACTCAGAGGTGAAGGCAATGTGCTTCCTAACAAAACTGTTTCTTTTGCATCTTTCATTTAATTAAAACCTTTTAGCCCAAAGCTCCAGTAATTGTTCTCCTAACAGAGCCACAGCTTTAAGTATCTCAGGGGCAGAATTTGCCGTTTGTGAGTTAAGAACATCCTGGTTTGCCTTCCGTTGTTTCTGGGTTGCTTCCCTTCTGTTAGGTGGATTCTCAAAACCGTGTCACTAACTCAGGGAGAAGGCAGAGCAGAGAGTAAGTCTGCATGCGAACACAAACCTATATACAACCATACACCAAGTGGTTTCGTGACTATCCACTAATGAGTCCAAACTCATAATTCTAGGATCATAATTCTGGCCATTTCTCCATTCCCGTTTCTACTTAGTACCATCCCAAAGGTTAAGGACAAGCCATAATGGTTTAGGAATATGTCTAGAAGAACTTCAGGAATGCAGGCCAAACAAACATCTCAGAACTCACAGGCCCTTCACTCAGAGGTGAAGGCAGCATGCTTGCTAACAATAGCGGCTTCTTGTTCTTTCATTTAATTCAAACCTTTTAACCCAAGCTCTGGTAACTGTTCTCCTAACTGAGTCATCACCTTGAAATATGTCAGGGCAGAATTTGCTAGTTGTCAGTTAAGAGCCAAAAAGCCATGTCAGAATATGAATTCACCCTCTATTTCAGCCATTAAAATTTAGATCAAAATAGGAGTATATTATGAATGTCCGGTCAGACAGAGGGGGCATGTTGCGGATCCTGTTAGCAAGGGAATGTCGGCTGGCGGGGCCCAGGAAGAGACCCTTCTCTGCCTTTGCCCCTACCCTTTGGAATATTCTCCCCACAGAGGTGTGGTGGGCCCTTACCCTCCCAGCTTTCTGAAAAGGTTTAAAGACCTGGCTCTGTCAGTGTGCATGGGGCCATATGGACTCTACCCGCCCCTGGGGGTGGTGATCCCCCTGATGATGCTCGCTGGAATTACTTGCCAATTTTCTATCTTCTTGGAATTTATATATTTTTAGGATTGTTTTTTATGTTGTATTTTAATGAATTTTTATCTTGTTGTAAACCGCCCAGAGTCGTTTCACAAGATGGGCGGTGACAAATTTGATGAATAAATAAATAAATAAAATGTAACTCTGCAAAGACAATGTACATCTGCAAAATGTATATAATATATTGTAGATGAGCACTGCTGGATCAGACTCATGGTTCTGCTGAACAGGGCATGGAAGCAAATCTTCTTTACCCAGCAATTAAATCTTAGGAAGCGTGGATTATCTGAGAACCTAGGGATCTGGGAGCAGTTGATAGCTTTGTCAACCTCTCTATAAAAGCTTCTTATGACCATCTCATAACCTTGTGGCAGAAGGTTCAATAAGGCCCATTCAATAGACCGAGTGAAGAAATCCTCCCCTCTCTGTCTGTCCCAAGTTTTCCACCAACCACATTCAGCAGATAATCTTGGGTACTAATGCAATTCCTTGTCGCTTCCACAAACTGGTCAGTCTTACCGGGCTTGTAAGTTTTCAATTTCTATGCTCTTTTCCCGCTCCATCCTGCTGAGCAGATCTCTCTGTTTCCGGATTTCTTCCATAAGAACTTCATCAGATTTTACCTCTTGTTCTTTCAGCTGCTCTTCCAAGGCATTTGCTCTGTCCAGAAGAAGAGAGATTTCCAGATTAGCTCCAGTTGCCACCCCATGAGAACTCACTGTCTGTTGCATACGGACCAAAGGAAACAAGGGAGGTTTTTATCTGGGATCCACAAATCTGAGAGTCACACACTTTGATTTCCTTGCAGACATTGTAGGAGGAGAGCCGTGTTAGTCTAGGATAGCCACAGATCAGGAGTCTGGTGGCACCTTTTCAGACTAACAGATGTTATTAAAAGGCATCACCTTTTGTGAACTACAGCTCACTTCATCAGATGCATGGAGTAGGGTTTAAATTGGGATGAGGCAATCTGTTAATCTGAAAAAGTGCTACCAGACTCCTCCTAGCCTTGACTTCCTGTGATTTTAGCTGACCCAGGTCCTCCTCGGTGATTTTGACAACGGTCTGATTTCTATCTTAGAGGAAAGAAATATATATGGTCAACATAGGCCATATCTGGCAAAGTTGTGGGCATTCTCTAGAATATTGCTTTCTCATCCTCTTTATGGTGCACTAAAGCACCTGCGAAATACAAAAAAGAGCTGAAAAACAGTAACATTCCTACAATCCAGGGGACGCGGGCTCTCTTAGAAAATGTTCTGTTCTCCGAATTCCTCTTTTAGATTTGTCTGCTTTTTAAAAGGCAGACCCCCATTTTTTTTAGTGCTTGCCTTGAGGATTAATTAACTCATTACACAGCCTAATCCACTGATAAGTCCTATTGAGAAAGTCCCGTTGAAAAGGGAGCTGTATGAAGAAATAATCCTCGTAACAATAATATCACCCTGCCTGCAAAAAGCTGAGTTTCTAATCTGGTCTTCTGCCTGATCTGCAGGCTTTTTAAGTGAAGCCCCCCGCAAACAAGTCAGCTCCTCGACTGCCGCACAAAATTGGGCCCCGGCTGTTTCCGAACAGACAGATCTGTCCTCAAAACGTACCTGTGCACCAGCTGAAGGTTTTCTTGCTTTAACCGGCTCTGCTGCTCCCCATTTGCAACGGTGTCCTTTTCCAGCTCCGTCACTCTTTTCTCCAAGAAGATCACCTGCAGAAAACGGGGTGAGGTGTAAACATCAGGGCGCCCCATCCTTCCTAATACATCTGTTCCACAATGGGATACGTTCTAGAAACGCGGTTCCAGAATCGATGTAATTAAAAGTTTTAAGGACGATAAGAACGACTGCAAGCTGACTTAGAACAGAGAAAATGAAAAAGAAAAACAACAGAAAAAGCTAACAGCGCAATAAGAAAAGGAAATGAAGAAAGTAGGGGGGAAAAAAAGAACAAGAAAGGTACAAAGGTATAAAGAAGTAGCTTCCGATATTCTTCACAGCAATTATACTGTACGTACAATTATATTTTCACCTCTCTCTTAGATCATTTACTTCCAACTGATCTCATAACTCACAGCTCTCCTGCCCCAACAAAAGCATTATCCAGCCACTCATCCCAACCAAAGAAGCTGCCTGTTGCAACTCTGTATGATTGCCTGCACTAAGCTTATTTCAGCTTTTGCTAGCATTCAGTACCACCCGAGTTTCTGCATTTGGGACTCCCTGCCTCCTCTATTTGGAGCCCGTCGCTTCGTAATCCAGGGGCTGTGCCCCAACCAATTTCTCTTGCAGAAACTCATACAGCCAAAACGTCTTGCTCTCAGCCATGCCAAAATTAACTCATTTAGCTGAGACAAAATTGACCCATTTTTAAAATTCCTGGCCAGGGGGGTGGGGGGTGGGTGGAAGGAGAGAGATGACAACCCTTCATCACTAAAAGCAAGACCCTATAGATGATGATCATGATTAGATTTTTATCTTGCCTTGTTTTGATAATGGTGGTCATCTCCTGAAAAACAAGAAGGTTTGGCCGGGCTGGCTGTTTTTTTTGGGGGGGGGATGGGGGGGTAGAATAGAGAGAAAAAGTCAGACTGATCCAGACTAAAGCCTTATAGCATCAAGGTGATTTTTAAATCAAAGCAGGCTTGGACCAACTGTGAGCTGCCCAGAGTTACTTTAGAATCAGGTGATATCTACATCTAATGAAATAATAGTAATGCAATCATCACCACCACCATCAGTCCATTGCCAAAGGCAGCTTCACTTGGAACAGCTTCCATCCTGCGACAATCCCTTTAACCCCATCAAACAACCTCTGCCCATCCCAGATCCTTGGGAAGGACTTGACAGGTGGATAAAAATGCCAGATCCAATTGAAACATCTGGCTGACTGTGCGACCAACCTTAATAATGCAATCCACAGGATGGATGGATGGATGGATGGATGGATGGATGGATGGATGGATGGAAATCCTTCCCTCCCTACTCTCTCCTCTGTGTGCGCACGCATGCATATATGTGTCCTGGTTAAATCCATTTAGTTAAACAGACCTATACACCGTCTCCCTTGGTTCAAGATGCACAGACCTTATCAGTGATATCCTCTTCCAGACACTCCAGGCTCTTCCGGAAAGGTTGTTCCATGTTATCCACCGAAAAGGTTCCTGTCTGATGCAGGTGTCTGGAAGCAAGACAGATCAATGCAAACCAAAGCAAAGCCACCATCACATCAAACATGGCTGTAGAGGACAACAAATGCCCAGAGGGGTCAAGTTGGGTTAAAACTTCCCTTATTCTGCCCCCCTCCTTTCCTGCACAGGATTCCCCAGTGGCCCCTCATTTCAGGCAGGCAGAAGCTAAACGCCGAAGGCCAGCAGGCATTCTGAGCAGGCTTTCGTCAGTGAAATAATATTCATCATATTTCAGTTTCACAGCTGGAGGCTCCCATCTATGGTGACCCTCCCAACTTTGGATGGCTCTCTCAGCTCATTTGGAAAGTTGGCGGTTGGCTCAGAGAGCGAAGGAATCAATTGCAAGCAGTTCACCCTTTTATACGTTTGCTCTTTGGAATATGGGGTAATGAGGCTTTCGTCCACTTCATTTCTTTTTCATCTTTGCGGCAACGAGACAAACTGTACACTCGAAAGCAATAAGCAGCAAGGAGCTGGGCCGGAAGGAGGGGCAGGTTGGGAAGTAGCAAGATAGCGAAATAGCTCTCCTGCTGTGACCACAGGAAGTTAACTGGACCTCTACCACGTCACCCAGCTTCTGTGTTGTGGTCCAAAGTCTGCCATTTTATGGCAAGTCATCTGGGCCAGACATTTATCGGCTGTTAACCAGTCATGCAATGTATCACTAAACGAGTGTTTCATCACCATTCTGCGGAAAAGAACAAAGCTTGGCATCTCCCCCTCATTCCCCCAGCAAAACCTCATGCATTTCTGCCTTGCGCATGATGTGAATAAGTTCTAGGAGGCAATACAGAGCAAAGGTCAGATGGGTAAAACAGCCCATCACCAGCTCCAAGGGAGAAGCAGGCACTTCACCCCAAATCGAGAACCCCTTCGCAACCACCTTGGTCCACGCGGGCAAAGAGATGTATTGATTATTTTATGAAACTGAGAAGGCCCCCCAATTCTACAACCACTCTGGAGGGCACACTGTCAAAGGAATGGTAAAATACAATGAGAAACTCAAAGCCTGGAAGAATGACAAGCGGTTAAAAAATAATCAAGTGCACAGGACCTGCCACTCATTCTAATCCAGGGCCTGGGGAAAGGGACATTTTTTAGGGGTCTTCTAAGCATGGCCAGCTGCAAACCAATGTATCTTGGGAGGGACAGTGTTCCAGAGGGCAGGGGCTGTGATGAAGAAGATACCCTTCCCATCAGGTGACACTGCCTAATGGACAGGACTAGAACACGCCAACTCTGTCCAATTATATAAGTCACATAGAAGCCATGGAAGAGAGACAATCCTTCAATTAAACAGGCTCTACACAGTGTTTCTCAACCTTGGCGACTTTAAGATGGGTGGACTTCAACTCCCAGAATTCCCCAGCCAGCATGAAACACTGCCCTATACCACAAAGGGCTTTGTAGGTAAATACCAGCACCTTGCATTGCACCTGGAAGCCTACTAGTAACCAGTGAAGCTCACAGAGGAAAGCTGTTGCACGGGCCTGATGAGACGTGCCAGTATTTGCCCATGCTGCCACCTTCTGGACCAGCTGCAGCTTCCAAGTGGTTTTCAAAGGCAGCTCCAGGTAAAGTGCATTGCAGTAGTCCATACGCAAGGTGTCCATAACTGACCACCCGTTGCAGAGAAGTTCTTCCTATGACGGTGCCCTCAACGGATATACAGCACAGGACACCCTCTTCCCTCCGAACTGTTGCAGGGCATCACTAACTACATGCAAAGCCCTTCTCTCGTCTGCCCAGATTCCCAGGTCTAGTCCTGAGCATTGGCAGGCCAGGGTGGAAAAGCTCCACCCTGAAACCCCGGAAAGATGCTACCAGCTAGCGCTGACCTCATTCAGTAGATGGACTAATGACCGGCCTTAGTAAAAGGCTGTTTCCTTTGTTGTTAAATGGAAGGATGGCACATCTGAAACCAGGAAAGCACACCTTATGGGTCCCCTTTGGTGTGCCGCGTTTCTACTTGGGCACCTCCTGAGCAGAGCCCGGGTCATCCTAGCGTAAGATGGGACACAGATTCTTCTCCTACATAATTTAGAAAGGGTTCCCTTTCCTCTTCAGATGCTGCCTGCTGATTTCCTCCAATCTTTGAGTAGAGATTTCCAGAAAAATATAGAAGGAGGATAGCAATGGGCTTTGATTATTTTTACCTAGCTTAGTTACTTATAGAAATGCAAAGGCTTCTAATAACTTCAGGAGCACATTTATGGAGTTTTTTTACACAGCCCCCACCCCCAAATTAAGTGGTTTCCCACTGTCTTCTTTGGGGATATTTTTTGAGTTTTTCATTTCCCAGTCTAGCCCTCAACCCTGGGTTTTTTTAGTGGTCTCCCATCCAGGCATTCACCCAGACTTAGTACTTCTAAGCCCAAAGAAGGTTGCTCGGATGCTGTTGCCTGCTGATACTTATATTATCACACAATTTCAAACAAGAAGAATGGGGTAGTTTGCAGAGCGCTAACTGGCTGACATATCAGCTTCTCCATCCAGGGGAGAGACAGGGAGAAAAAAAAAAACTTCACCTAAAAGGACAATTAAAATAAAAAGGCAATAAAACAAAAGAAAGGAAAAAGAAAAGCAGTTCTTGGCCACCCCTCCAACCCCAGCAGATCTCTCTGATACGCCAAGTGAGAACACGACGATGGGAAATTGCCGCATTGGCTAAGAAGCTACAAAGGTATTGGAATTTTATACTGATGGCATTTTAATAACGGGTCAAATGGCAGGAGGCACACAGACATTTAACCCTGTGGACGGTCTCTCCCTGCCAGCCACAGCCTGCAGCCTTGCGACAGGTAGCAAAATGGGGGCACGGGGGGAAAGATGGCCTAATTCGACAAAGCAGACCATCCTTTTCTTCCTCCTGACTCAGCGTCAAGCCAGCTGGGCAAGATGAAAGAATCACGGATCGCATGGATTTCAATAAGGGATCTTGAATGCTAAATACAGGTTTTTGGAAACAGCATGAAGAATTTCTCAGCTGTGTTTATAGTGAGTTCGCTAAGGCAGAGTCTCTTGGAATGACCTGAAATGCTTCTTCCCAGATTTCTCCCCACCTGAGCTAAGTTTATGAGAGAAACTGACTTCCCCACTATTTCTTGATTGTTTAATTCTGCTGACCCTCTTCGTTCCTTTTCCCAGCATCCCCACAAGCTCTGACACTGAGTCCCAAATCCTCAAGACTGACCTGGCAGAGAAACCTCCCAACACTTAGATGCAGAATGTGGTCAGGAATGAGCTGAAGATCCCGCAGTGTGCCTTTTCTCACAGGTGTACCTTGGCAACCCGTGCAGAGGGGACATCTCTAATATTAGCAGAGCATAACCTGGTGGACCTCTGAAGCTAGAACATCCCTCTCCAAGGTTTGCCAGAGTTCCCGCTGGAACCCCCTACCCAAAATCCCCCTTTAGGAGGGTTCCCCCCCCTTCTAGGGTCAGCAAAGGAGAAACCCACCCACATTGCTAAGCTTGGAACCTGCAAACCAACCATCTGAACGGCTCTGCTTCTGAGATGTTTATCACTAGGAGAAAGAAATGGTCCCACAACATCCTGGGAGTTTGGAATAACTATTAACCCCCAAGAAGGAATAGCACGAGGCAGGCATGACCACTTCAAAGCAAGGGAAAGCAGTAAAAGAAACATCACCCTACCTTGCTACCTTTTTGCTGGAGAGTCTCTTATTCGGGCTGTGAAATGAACAACAGGAAAACTAAGTCAGGAAAGCTGATACTGAAGAGCAACAGTGAAACAGGAAGCAAGCAAAGACAGAACAGGAGGGCCATATCCTTTACAATTTGCAGCACAGCACAAACACATCACCCCCACACTCCCGTTGCATGCACTGCACTCCCTCTGTCTTAGCCTCCTGGTCAAGTCCACCTTTTGAAGCCCTCTCAAGGGCGCTTTCTCAGGGGAGCACCGTAACCAACCATCTCTGGAACCCAGAGACCAGCATCTCCCCACCTCAGCAACTTTAAGGTGTGTGGACTTCAACTCCCACAATTCCTCAGCCAGCAAAGCTTTTTCTGGCTAAGGGTGGCACCTCTCTTTGAATGGCATGCCAGGGAGGCAATAATCCAGGTATTTAGTTGGACAAAGACAAAAACACTGAACTTGAAATCATTGGCTAACTGGTAATATAATTACACCCCCTGGGTGTAATCTTTTTAACATTCTCTTGCATTAAAAAATAAAATTCTACAGCAACTTTTGGAGGAGCTCTGTGGTTGTTTCCCCGTCTTAAAAGGGGAGGAATTCAACTGGGCAGAGGAAGTAGGTAGAAAAACACAAATGCATCTATCTCATGAAATTCTGGATGCCACTGGATGTCTCCATTGCACTTGGCTCTGTTGGTGGCTAAATCTTTCTGAGCTTCACAAGGTCTCCATTGGCACATCTATCCATATGGGGCAAAAGCCCCTGATCCAGACATCCTAGGACCAAGTTGTTTCAGAACCCAGAGCTGAATGTTCTACCAACATGTAGAAAGCTAGCTCACCTCCTAAAAATTTCAAGCATCACTTTCTCTTTGGGTTTATATTAGTTAATGATGTTCAACTGGATTGTGTGGATTTCTCCCCCAGCCTCCCTCAGGACTACCTCACATTTTTTTCAAATGTATGGACTGGCTTCAAGAGGGCATTCCTATATTATTTCTTCAACTTCTATGCTTCATCAAACATCACATTTTGTTCTTTGAGGGGTACTCAAAACACCCACACCCACATAGACACAAATGTTGTAAATTTTCTTGTGAAATACCATCAAAATAGGCTACAAATATGAATGTTCAACATAAAAAGATGACTGGTAATTAAGCAGCAAGGAAAGAGGTTCTACAGATACATCGTGTAGAAGCTGGGCTACCATCAGCAGTGCCAACAGCCTGGGCATTGACATTTTATCCAGCATGGCCTTCCCTCAACCTGAGATCCTTCTAGATGTTCTGGTCCAGAAGTTCAATACATCAGGAGAGCCCTTGTAGGGAACTGACCACCTACAGCAATCATTCATTCCCTCAAGGCTGCAAGGAACTGCCACTCGAAAATAGAGGTGGCCGGCTCAAAACTTTTTGCTGTCTGAGGAACATCCCCATCAGTCCTTGCCTCTAATACCAAGGTCCTCTGCTCCAATGCCAGCAAAGTTACAAAAATCTCACATGACACTCTCTCTCTCCACCAACAAAAATGCAACACTATAAATGAAACTAGGTACCTCACTCTTCATGGTCCTCCAACTAAGTTACCTGAGGGGGCTTCCCCATTCTGGTGAATAAGAGGGAACAGCCCTAGATTTAACTCCTATCAGCTCTGGTAATGAAGGGAAGGGCTCCCATCCTATGATGGCAGACCTCCATTGGTGGACAACAACTCATGAGGTTGTTGTCCTCTTTTTGATCAACTGGCATGTTCCTCTTCTTTCAGCTTCCCCCTCTGCTCAATGTTGATCATAATCCACAGGTTAAGGAGGAATTAAGCATCACATTCATATTAGGACAACAGTGAGCATGCAAAGAGGAAGCATCATAGAGCAGGACGCTCATAAAAGAAAGCATTCCGGCTAGCAATGTCCTTGCTTTAAGCTTAAGTATCATCAAGGAGGCTTTTTAGATTTGAAGGGCTAAGGCCATTTCTAGAGGTGCTAATAGTGCATCTGTTGTTGAAAGGATCAGTGTTAGGCAACATGCGTTCTTAACATGCAATGACTGTCATTGTTACTGAAAAACAGCATTCTGGCTTGTCCTTTCAGAGGACACCGGTGGCGTGTCCCACCCAAGAAAATGGTGGATCCAAAAATGCTGAGGAAAGCAAGAGCTGTAAGAAATGTTCAGGCCAGCTCAAGAAGGTCTGCACTTTTTAAAAAAGATTGACTT